ATAAAGAGTTGCCTGAGAATGTGTCAGAGTTTGTGGAAGTGTTATCGGAAAGGATGGATGATATCCACCATCAAGTGCGTACAAACTTGAAAACGTCTGCTGATTCGATGAAGTTGACTTATGATAAGAGATCTACTGAGGTCAGCTTTGTACCAGGGGACAAGGTGTGGTTGTATAATCCCAGGAAGACCAAGGGAAAGTCTCCTAAGTTGTCTTCTCCATGGGAAGGCCCATATGACATAGTGGATCGTCTCTCAGACGTGACTTTCCGGGTAAAATGTGGTCGGCGAGGTAAGCCAAAAGTGGTGCATGCCAACAGGCTTTGGCGTTATCACGGTCCAGGACATTTCAGTTGGGACGAAGTGAACAAAGGAACAAATGACGCTGCTGAAGATCTGCCACCTGAAGAAGCCACCATCAAAGAAGAAACTCTACTCAGTTTTGAGAAGGGAAATGGTGAAGCTCTTGATGAAGTTACTACCACTGATGTGACTGTTACCGACGATAGGACATTTCTTGATGAAGCAGATGAACCCCACTTGATGCAGAAGCCAACAAGACGGAGACCAGTACGGAAGAAGAAGATACGTTCCATAAAATTAAGAGACTTTGTTGAAGTGTAATTTTGTGTTTGTAATTCTGTACATTTTAATTAAGTTATTGTTAATTATTATTGGTTTATTGTAAGTGGCTATTGTTCGGGACAAACAATACTAAGGAGGGGGCAGTGTTGTGTTAGCGAGGTCACGTGACTTGTGTGACGCCACCTATTTTCCAGAAGTATCTTGTTCCTTCATAAATGCCCTAACATTTACTAGATATATGTTTTTCTGGTATATAAATAAGACGCTCACAACGTGACGCAATAAAGTGTGTGTAGGTAGTGAGTAATTGAACTGCAGTCAGGAAGTATTGTTGAAGTTAACGTTCCTTGTTCAAACGTTTGTAAAAGAGCGACTGTTGAAAATAAGTGTATCGGTAAAGTTATATTCAGAAAGAATAAACCAGTTTTATTAAGTAAGGACTTGTGTCGCTAAAGCTTCGTTGGAACGAAGTTATGGAAAATCAATTAACGAACGGAGACGTAACAATATGTAGTTTAATCTTTGTATTAGACTTTTGTAGTATTGTTGACGTCATCCTACTGAAAGTTTCTAAGTTTTCTCCTTTTGTGTAGCCCCTAGTGTCCATTGTGTAGCTTTGTGCTTAACTACAAACAAACAAACCTTCTGTAATAGTTTTGTTATTAGAGGGCTAGGTTTTCTATATTTGTCTGTCGCATGTTATAAATATGTGCAAATACAGACAGTAAGTAAGTTAGTGAAAGTAAAAGTGGAAACAAAATGAAGTTAGACTACACGATTTTCAGTTTAGCCGTAATGGGCGATTTATAAAATGAAAGTTTCACAGTTTGTATTGTAACAACAGAAATATAGAAGAAGAATTATTCTTGTTAGTTGGGTTCTAGAGTAACTGAACCAGCCTGTGTGGACTTTTGACGTAAAAGAGAATTATTTGAAACTCTGAATATAACTGTGGTAACCCACGGGGTAACAGTGAATTTATCACTGATTGTATTGTGTGCTGCCCATTTATTGTTGAAATTTATCTCCAACAAATCACACACACTTACTGTAAAAAATCCTGCCCACACATACTTAGAAACCTGACAAAGAGAAAAAATATATCATTCAAATATAACTCATTAATTACATCCCGGACATACGCTCATAACACCAACACTAAGTAACGGGTAATAAAATATTTTAGCTGTATAAATGCGTCATTGTTCACTTAGAACTTAAAAATTCGAGGAGAAAAGTGTAAAGTGTACATCATTGGTGTTTCGTATTATATTTTGAATTAGAGAACTATGTTTAATTTATTTGATTAAAAACATGGTTTTATAATAGATTCTTGAGAGAGTTGGTTGTAGTTTAGACTCTAGATGACATGATTTGTTCTATCGGACTTTGCAGTAATAGGTTCTGATAGTAATAATACTTAAAGTTAAGTTGAACTTGTTGAAGAATATAAAATTAGAAGTGCAAGAGCTAAATTACTGTCACTAAAATGGCATAATTAATGTTTTCAGGATTTTATCTGTTATTATTTTTCCGAAGTAGTCTTTTTTAACTGATAATATTATTACTATTAGACCGTTAAGAGTTTTCTTCAGACTAACTTTGACTTGCTCTCTGAGTAATTTATAATAGTAATTATGAATATGAGAAGATGTATAAATAATAGCCTGAGATCATAGTATTACCATTACTACTATTACTTGTAGCAGATGATTAAAAGTAAGACGCAAATAATGAGTCATGGTCAAATTCTCAGATTAGGCAGTAACTAATATTAAGCCTAACTTTACTACTTAAGCACTTACTACTACAAGTACTAATGGGCCTTTTTACTAGTAGTACTAATTCTAGGTTAACCCTGTAGTATATAGGTTGAAATAATGTGAAACATAGACAGTAACCCATTTGGTCCTTCAAGTTCAAGGCTGTCTTTTCTGTCACACCTTTCCCTTCCATTTTCCCCAAGAAAGTAAAAGTAGATTCACACTACTTTAAACTAAAGAAATAATTCATTTTTCCTCTAAAACCTGTGTAATGGTGGCCTCCACTAAAGTCTACAGGATGACAGTAACTTATTCCATAGGCTAATTGGCATTTTAGTAAAATATAACTGTACTGGAGCCCGGCTTCTCTTTCCAAATCTTTACACACATCCTCTTTTTTTATCTTATCACAATACTACACAAATATTGAAATAAATATGAGACATTTATCTTAATTATTTTATGAGTAGTTTTCTTAGTCTTAAATAGATTGCTAGTTAACTTTCTTTTCTCAAGAGAAAATAAGTTAATACATATTGTCATAAGATAACCATTCCATTCCAGGAATCATCCTAGTAGCCTTCTCAGTTTTTATTCAATGGATAAGTCAATGTTCTTTGTTCGGTAAGGAGACCAAAACTGTACACAGTATTCAAAGTAAGGCCTAACTTCTGACTCGTATTGAAAAAAATTCCTCTTTTGAATTTGTAATCAATGTGTCTATAAATACACTTTAAAAATCATATTATCTGTATGACTACTACTGCTGCAATAACTATAAGTGAAAGATCAATAGTTAGGCATACATCGATTTATAAGCATAAGGGAAAATTTTTTATTCATGGTGGAACATACTACACGTTTCGACAGAAAATTCGTCTGCCTTCTTCGGGTATGATAATAATAAGCTATACACATGCGTAGAGGTGAATTCCAGACATTTGCCATAACATATCATCAATATGAAACAAGTCACAGAATACTGTGGAATGAACTTCTCCTACTACACCAACCCAAAAACAAAAAATAAACTATAGAAATCATCAAAGCTAACAATCTCTCACTAAACCGTGATAATGGTCTCAGCAACATAAATCATATTTGGCAAGCCCTATTCACTACCCACATAATGGACCAGACTTGACCATTAACTATATCCGGTCATCTGTTGATATGATTTCTGTCTCACTTAATCCTTTTATCATCATTACATTGTTTAAACTGTGTATAGCTTAGTATTAATCATACCTGAAGAAGGCAGACCAATGTTCTGTCAAAACATGTAGTATGTTCCACCATGAATAAAAAATTTTCCTTATGCTTATAAATCATTGTGTGCCTACCTATTATGTATCAGCATAATGTGCTTCTTTCCTCAAGTATAACTATAAGCAAAAGAGCACTGCCCCAGCTTATCTACAATTGATACCAAGGAACACTGTCTTTTTGTAGTGCACACAGGAGTAAATGATGCAAATCAGGTGAGCTGGTTAAAAAGTAAAAATAACCTATTCAAAGCTTTAGGTATATAAATAGGGATGTGTCCCTTTCAGATCTGCTCATTTGGATTAGATACAGAAATTAACTAAGTAAAAGATTGTCAGGAATATTCTTAGAGCAGTAGATAAGCTGGTTGAAACTGGATAGTTTTTACAATAAGTGTTGTTAAACAGATTAGGTAGTAGGATGTTTGAGGAAGCTTTAAATATATTTATCAAAGAAAGTTTAACAAAAATCATATAGTGATAACCCAAATGTATTACGTTGTATTACTGTGATTAAAATCCTCTACAAATATTTATCCATTGTACCATTTGGTCAGTCTTTTTGTAGTACAACAACATTGATACTCCTAGAAATAATGAATTTAATTTCATCAGCAATCTTTACTAATTTACTTATTTTCCAATATCAATATAATTAATGTAAATATGAAAAGCAAAGGCCAAGGCACTGACCCTTGAGGCACTATGCTAGTAACAAGGGTAAGATGCAGGTTAAGTGGCAGAACATTGGAAGTTGGCTACAGGGCTGTTACCCCTTAGGGCCTACAACATTTATTGAAATAGTTATATGCTATAACAAAGCCCACAATACTTTAAAATTTGTTTAGGAGGAGATGCGTCCATAGACAGGCAGAAAGTTTTCTTTAATATTGGATACTTATCTCATCGGTATGTATGGTGCATATGTGGAGAATGATATGCAAGTAGCTAGGGCCTACAAAACTCTTAATCTGGACCTTGTTGGCTAATGTGAGTAATGTTACTCTATTGAAAGGAGGTGATGAAATTGTCCATATAATTATAGGCCTATTAGTTTTGAATGAGAGATGATAAAAATATTTGAAGGTCTTACTAAAAACGATTTGATATTAATCTAAAAATATTTAAAATTGGTTGGATAGTGAACCTGGTTTCAAAAAGGGAAACCTTGCCTTATTAACATTATGGCATTTTTTGAAGAGGTTACTGCTTATGTAGTTAAAAGTAATAGTTTGGATTTGATGTATATGGATTTTCAGAAATAATTTTACAAGGTGCCTTATAAAAGGCTTCTTAAAATTTGTCTGTATAAGTGAGGAGAACAGGTTGGCTCATTGGATCAAAAATTACTAGAGTGAAGAAAGCAGAGGGTTGTTATGGAGTTCAAACAAACTGGATTAATGTCAGAAGTGAGGTAACTTAGGCCTCAGTGCTAAAAACTTTGCTTTTTTTGTTTTTCATTAGTGACATAGATGAAGGAATGGTCAGTAAATTAAATTTTCTGATGATATTAATGTCTTGAGTGTTGCTGGCTGTGATGACGATGATGCTGCTGCTTTACAAAAGGATATAGAATATTTGGTGAGTTTGAATAAATGAGCTACACCAAAGGTTCATGTGATAGTTAAATTATAATTGAATTAATGAAAAATACATGTAAAGGAGTGTATAAGAATCTGATTTAGTGTATATGTAGTTGTAGAAAGAAAGCAGTGTTAATAAATGTTTTATTTGTTACTTGTCTTAGTGGTTGGGTGTGCAAGGACAGCCTTTTAAAACAAAATGGTCCCTTATTTGTCTATTCATGTACCAATTTCTAATAAGAGTTAAACCCTTTTCTTTGTTTACCGAAGAGGGGAGGGTAGTCGGTGATATTGAGGGCATGGCTGAGGTACTATCAACATATTATACTAAATTGTACTCTCAGGATGTAGTTAGTCAACAGGATATAGATTATGTTATTAACTTTATTGATAAGTTTCTTTCGCAAGAGCAAATTGTCTCGTGTGATGCACCAATCACAGTTTCAGAATTGTGGGAGATCCTACCCTGTTTACCTGTTGGAAAATCTCCTGGCTATGATGGTTTTACATCAGAGTTTTATAAGTGTTTTTTACCGTTATTCATGGATGATTTTGTACAAGTATTAAATGAGATCTTTCAATCGGGGGAGTTGTTACGCTCAATGAGTTATGGGGTGATTGTCCCTATTCCCAAAAGGGGAGATAGGCGGATGGTAACTAATAGCAGACCTTTGACGATGTTGTGTACCGATTATAAGATTTTGGCAAAGGTACTGGCAAGTCGCCTTTCTAAGGTGATCGCTAGTTTAGTTTCAGCAAATCAGACGGGGTGTATTCCTGGACGCGATATAGTCGAAACTCCTTTGACCTTAGTGCTGTTACTACAGATATTGGAACGCTCTGGGAAGGGTGGAATATTCTTAAAACTAGATCAAATGAAAGCTTTTGATAGAGTTGATCACGATTATTTCTTTCAAGTTCTGCATCGAATGGGTTTTGGTCCAGGGTTTTTAAATTGGATTCCAAAGGACGTACACACTTCCAATACGTATGGCAAGGAATCAACATCTCTTAACGTTAATGTTGTGTCATCAGCGTGTTGGTAAATTATCGAACTCTGTGCAAGTAATATATCCCCCGTCAGCCCCACAAGTTGATCATGATAAACAATCATATTGCATAATGGTTCTACACTGAGTACAAACAACAAGGCAGACAAAGGGCATCCCTGTCGTATGCCCCGCTTAATTGGAAACCAATCGGTTAAAAAACCATTGAACTTTACAGCACTAACAACATCAGTATAACAAATTTTATCCCACCTCAAAGTGGGGGTATCCACATAGTTACAAAGAATAATTCTCCTTTGAAAATAATACAAAGTACTCTGGAAAACTGCATAAGAAAGAAAATGAAAACATATAAAACCAAAAAACTTCTTAAGAGTTGGATAATAAATCAATATACAATAAACCAAAATTAAGACAGTGTAGCATAATTAAGAAATCTGTATTGAGAATTATCTGAATTCTCTGTACAAAATTTAATTACAAAACAGGAATTTATTGCACAACAAAACCATTATGAAGTATTAATAAAATTCTTATTATTGAAACAAAAAGGTATGAATGTGCATAATACTAAACCCATAATTATTAAGGAAACAATACATGTAATATAACCTGAAACTGGAGTTAATGAAACACAAAAACAAACATTAAAATCAAAGTAAAGATATCCATAGCCATTGTAATTAAACTATTTATCTCAGTAATGTACACAATTCATAACCTTGTGTACCCTGCGAAACCATTGAACCTTTGTAAGCATACATAGTATAAAAAGTAATTACAGAATTTCTTGATAAAAATCTGCAATAATCCATATAAATTCGTTTACGAATGCGGACTTTAAGCATTGATATTAGATGTACAACCTTTCCACTATATAATTTAACACATCTTGCAGAGTTTATAGTGAATTTCGCTAATGTAGTGATCAACCGAAAAATATTACTGCATGTCAAAGGAATGGAAGGATGATGTCCAACCAACTTACACCTCCTCCAAACCCAAACAGATATTGGACAACCGAAATAGAATTCCAACAATTCATAAACATAAGCCCATAACGGTTGTACCTCTGTACAAAGAAAAAATAAATGATCAATGGATTCTCGCACCACACCACAAAATGTGCATAATCCAGTTGAATGTCTATCCATATGCACCAGCTTGATATTCGTGGTCACAGCCCACGACCATAATAAATAATCCACATTACATGGTTCATTTCCCACAAATGACGAAAACGTATTTTTTCGAATCATCTTCCACTGATCTATGGGAACAACGTCTCCCCAAAATGTTCTAGCAGGCATCTGAGTACCTAATGCACTACGTATATACCCGACTAACTCTTTAAGTGAGAGACCCTTGAACCGCACGTATTTACCAGTTAAGTCCCTAAAAGACAATTCTGGGACATGTCGAAAGGAAGGAACTGGCGCTGGTTTCAAAGTAACAGTCTCCAACCACTCACTCGGCAAGGCAGACTTTAATAAATTAAAACGAGAAGTAATAAACTTTGTACTCACAGAACAATCCACATCCTGACACATTTCAACAACTGCGTTTATTCTCAAAAATCCAGGTAGCACTTCATACAACAAGTGCCTCACTTTTACTAACCCAGCTTTAATAAACTCGGGAAAATAGAACGTGCGTCCCTGAGCATCAACAATTTTCGGGTTTAAAAATAAAGGTTCATCAAAAAGTGTGTTGCCATCACAAATAGGTGCCATGCCCGTCTTCCCAATCAGCAAATACCATGCTTTAAACATTTCCTGAAAAAATAATGGTAGACCCTTAAAATATCTTGATAAAACTGCACAGCGAAAAACGAAAAAACCCAGAAACATATCACCATAATAATCAAGGAAACACTTTATGATGGCCCATACAACATTGGAACTGGTACCTTCTAAACATCGCTGCAGTAGTTTTAGGCGAAAAGCCGATTTACGCACAGAAATATCGACTAAGTTAATTCCCCCATCAATAAATCTCTTGATTAAAGTTTCATATGCCACCTTATGTATACCGCCATCCCAAACGAAATCCAATACACATTTACGAAACTTAGCTTCAAATTGCCTCGGTAACGGAAGTACTTGTATAGGATACCATATAATCGACGCTACCAAAGCGTTCACAATCAACGCTTTACCCTTAAGCGACATTGACCGATAACGCCACGATACCAGGATACTTGAAACCCTTCGGAGCACAGCCTGCCATGTAGCATGAAGCATGACATTAAAATCTGCATGAAATACTATACCCAAAATCGTGACGGGATCTCGAGAAATACGTAAATTATCAATCATTAACTCCTCCCGTGTGTTCCAACATCCTACCCATAAGCCCTGACTCTTTCCCCAGTTAATCTGGCCGCCAGAAGCCCTTTTATAATTTCTTGGTATTATTATTTGTAAAAGTGTAGATACCCCCTCTATGAGGTGGGATGAATAAAGAGAAAAAAAAAAAAAAAAAAGCCGGTAAAACAGTGAGATCCGGGAATGACCTGTGGAGATAGTTTTTCTCTAAAAACTCTAAAATAAACGTTGAATGGGAGGGTTTGGTTACAAGTGACAGGGAACGCGGCCCACGCCACCTGCTTAGAGAGCACTACTTCTCTTGGCGATCGCAGCTGGAAATAACAGTTAGGATTCCATTTTCGCAAAAGCCTCTCATCAAGAATATATATTCTTGGGAAGTGTGTTTAAATAACAAACTTACTTACTGATTTTCGTTCATTATCTGAAAAATTAGAGAATAACTATTATTAAGAATCTTCACTTGAGCCCACTACTTTAAGGTTGGATAGGGAAGGATTTTTGTTTCTTCATCTCTGCTACCAGAACTTGAATTGGTAGTGAGACCTACTAATTTAGAAATAAAAAATAAGGTGTGGAAGAGAAAAAAAAATGTCATCATCACCCGGTATTCCCAGGTGGTCACCCTCCCAAGTACTAACCGGGCCCGACGGGTGTGGGCTCTAAACCAAAAAAGATCGCTTAACAAGCAGGCTCAG